TTTCCCCTAAGGTCAGGAACGCGGCAGGGATGTCCACTCTCACCACTGCTATTCAACATAGTATTAGAAGTCCTAGCCACAGCAATCAGACAACAAAAAGAAATCAAAGGCATCCAAATCGGCAAAGAGGAAGACAAACTCTCACTCTTTGCAGATGATATGATACTGTACGTGGAAAACCCAAAAGACTCCACCCCAAAACTGCTAGAACTCATACAGGAATTCAGTAAAGTAGCAGGATATAAAATCAATGCACAGAAATCAGTGGCATTCCTATACACCAACAACAAGACAGAAGAGAGACAAATCAAGGAGTCTATCCCATTTACAATTGCACCCAAAACCATTAGATACCTAGGAATAAATCTAACCAAAGAGGCAAAGGATCTGTACTCAGAAAACTATAAAATACTCATGAAAGAAATTGAAGAAGACACAAAGAAATGGAAAAACGTTCCATGCTCATGGATTGGGAGAATCAACATTGTGAAGATGTCAATGCTACCTAGAGCAATCTACACATTCAATGCAATCCCCATCAAAATACCATCCACTTTTTTCAAAGAAATGGAACAAATCATCCTAAAATTTGTATGGAACCAGAAGAGACCCCGAATAGCCAGAGGAATGTTGAAAAAGAAAAGCAAAGCTGGCGGCATCACAATTCCGGACTTCCAGCTCTATTACAAAGCTGTCATCATCAAGACAGTATGGTACTGGCACAAAAACAGACGCGTAGATCAATGGAACAGAATTGAGAGCCCAGAAATGGACCCTCAACTCTATGGTCAACTTATTTTTGACAAAGCAGGAAGGAATGTCCAATGGCAAAAAGACAGTCTCTTCAACAAATGGTGTTGGGAAAATTGGACAGCCACATGCAGAAGAATGAAACTGGACCATTTCCTTACACCACACACAAGAATAGACTCCAAATGGTTGAAAGACCTAAACGTGAGACAGGAGTCCATCCAAATCCTAAAGGAGAACACAGGTAGCAACCTTTTCGACCTTAGCCGCAGCAACTTCTTCCTAGAAACATCGCCAAAGGCACGGGAAGCCAGGGCAAAAATGAACTATTGGGATTTCATCAAGATAAAAAGCTTTTGCACAGCAAAAGAAACAGTCCACAAAACCAAAAGACAACCGACAGAATGGGAGAAAATATTTGCAAACGACATATCAGATAAAGGGCTAGTATCCAAAATCTATAAAGAACTTATCAAACTCAACACCCAAAGAACAAATAATCCAATCAAGAAATGGGCAGAGGACATGAACAGACATTTCTCCAAAGAAGACATCCAAATGGCCAATAGGCACATGAAAAAGTGCTCAACATCACTCGGCATCAGGGAAATCCAAATCAAAACCTCAATGAGATACCACCTCACACCCGTCAGAATGGCTAAAATTAACAAGTCAGGGAACGACAGATGTTGGCGGGGATGTGGAGAAAGGGGAACCCTCCTACACTGTTGGTGGGAATGCAAGCTGGTGCAACCCCTCTGGAAAACAGTATGGAGGTTCCTCAAACAGTTGAAATTAGAGCTACCGTTCGATCCAGCAAATGCACTACTGGGTATTTACCACAAAGATACAAATGTAGGGACCCGAAGGGGTACGTGTACCCCAATGTTTATAGCAGCAATGTCCACAATAGCCAAACTGTGGAAAGAGCCAAGATTCCCATCGACAGATGAATGGATAAAGAAGATGTGGTATATATACACAATGGAATATTATGCAGCCATCAAAAGGAATGAGATCTTGCCATTTGCAACGACGTGGATGGAACTGGAGGGTGTTATGCTGAGTGAAATAAGTCAATCAGAGAAAGACATGTATCACATGACCTCACTGATATGAGGAATTCTTAATCTCAGGAAACAAACTGAGTGTTACTGGAGTGGTTGGGGGTGGGAGGGATGGGATGGCTGGGTGATAGACATTGGGGAGGGTATGTGCTACGGTGAGCGCTGTGAATTGTGCAAGACTGTTGAATCACAGATCTGTACTTCTGAAACAAATAACGCAACATATTTTAAGAAAAAAGGAAAAGAAGAAGATAACAGGAGAGGAAGAAAAGGGGAGTATGTCAGAGGGGGAGACGAACCATGAGAGATGATGGACTCTGAAAAACAAACTGAGGGTTCTAGAGGGTAGGGGGGTGGGGGGATGGGTTAGCCTGGTGATGGGTATTGAGGAGGGCACGTTCTGCATGGAGCACTGGGTGTTATGAACAAACAATGAATCATGGAACACTGCATCAAAAACTAATGATGTAATATATGGTGATTAACATAACAATAAAAAAAATTCGGGAAAAAAAATAAAAAAAAAATTTTAAATTCTGGGGACGCCTGGGTGGATCATTCGGTTAAGCGTCTGCCTTCGGCTCAGGTCATGATCCCGGGGTCCTGGGATCAAGCCCCGCATCGGCCTCCCTGCTCAGCGGGGAGTCTGCTTCTCCCTCTCCCACTCCCCCTGCTTGTGTTCTCGCTCTCTCTCTCTCTCTCTCTCTGTCAAATAAATAAAATCTTTAAAACAGTAAAAAAAAAAAAAAAGAAGTCTAACGATCAGGTTTTTATGGATCCTGGTTTAAAAAAGAAAAAAGCTACAGAAGACATTTGTGGATAAACTGGGAAAATTCGATACAGATGGTGAAATAGTTATTAGGAAATTGCTGTTAATTTTGTCAGGGCTGCTAATGGCATGGCACCTATTCAGGACAAATCTCTATTTTTTGAAGATTCAAAATATACTGTATTGGTACAATATCACAGTGACTGCCATTCACCTGGAAACTTTGGGAAGATGAAACATTGCAAAATGCTTAACAATCTCTGAATCTTGGGGGTGGGTATATGTATGCCCCCTGGAATTTGCTTTCTACATATTAAAAAATGTCCATAATAGAAAGGCTCAATAAATAAACAAATCTGAGAGATTTGCTCAGATATAAGCATAATGCACATTTTTTAAAAACTGAAAGCATGACAAATTTTACACCATATAAAAAGTAAAGACATTTCAGACTACAAATTAGTTTATGTAATCTTAATTTGGAAGCATATCTAAAAATGCTAGAGGTCTTTATGCATTACATGCCTACTTTTGAAATATGCCTTAAAGACCTAAAACTGACATGACCCTGGAACTCCTCAAGCTGGCTCAACTCAACCTAAAGCAAAAGAGTTCCTTCCCTTCAGAGTGAAGTCAAACGTGACACGATGCAAGATAAATGATAGCCTAACATGAATCTGAAATCTATATGGAAAATGTCCAGCTGGTAGTTTGGCTCTAAACTCATATAATATCACATTCCTGATAGTGAAAATGGCTATATTTTTTTCCCTTAAAAAAAGAAAATAAATAGAAAAAGTGATGGGAAAACCAAAATCTCCAGCAGACACATTCTCACCATTGAAATAAAAACAAAAGCCAGGCCAAAGGGGGAGATTTTTTCTCTTTTTCTTTAGGGAGGTTTAAAAATATGAAGATATGACCTATTACGTCAAGACATATGGCTGAAAACATTGAAAAGTGTTATTTTACTTAAATAAATACTATGAACCTAAACATGGGAAAAAATCTCCTGAGCTTTGCATTCTGCTACCTGGTTTACTGTTATTATTAGAGATCAGAAGTTCCTTTTATGTGAATATACACAGTATTGCTCTGTCTTCTACTTAAAATCCTTCACATTTTTAAAACTATTGCTTATTCAAAGAATTTTAATTATTTGCCATTAAATTTCCACAATTCCTATTTCAATCCTACAGGGCATATTTCAACTATTTGTCTCTTTAAGCTTATATTTAGCATGATATTGATGAGTTCAAATGTAAGAGAAATTGAATGGAAATAAATAAGAAGGTCATGCAACAGCTTTTCTGGAGAACTCAAATGAGAAATGTTGACAATAGCTCCCAAATACCTGCCACCTCCCTTTTCATTCCATCCACTCAGATTTCTTTCCTTTTACTTCCCTTTCCCAAAAGTATTGGAACGACGGGGACCCAGATCATATTTTTCTCCATTCTCCTATGTGGTCTGGAAGCAAAGCAAGTGGATACCGGTATGGCTGGAGCCAATTATACCTTGCCTTTGCCAGCTGCTATTGAAGGCTTGCTCACAGAAGTACTGGAACATTCCAGCTTTATTCTCGGCCTCACAGACACCATGACAGGGCAGAAGCACGGCCAACAGGCTTGACGTTATCCCTTTATTTCCTAGCCTTATTACCTATATACAACCCTTCTGCAATAACTTTGTACAATGATAACAGCAAGACAATAACCTCAAAAGGAATTTCGTGTGTGGTCCCCCACCCCCGGGGTGTCTGATGACATGTGACACACAGCCTGACAGAGAATCCTGAACCGCTGAGCATGCTCTGCTGACAGCTTCCCAGAACATCAAACCATATGCAAACAATGTCACTCATCTCCTCACAGATACCTGGGAATGATAAATGTGACAAGAACTGATACCATGGACTACTTCTGTGCATCACTTGAATTCACCTGGTGGAAAAACAGTCTGAACAGAATGGAAACATGTTTAGAAACAAGCCAGACTTTCCAAAGGTCATCAGAAGAGTATACAATTCAGCAACCCAGAGATATTCTTCAATGGTTCTGGCCTGACCTACCTGTCTTAGGTCCAGAGTGATTGTAACCCAGTGATATTCTCTACCGTTTTGAATACTGGGACTTTGCCACCAGTTATTGGTCCCGTCGATTGCATTTGATATTGGATGGCGTTCTGTGAAAAGAAAACATACATGGGTTTCTCTTAGCTCTTGGTGTCAAGTTTTTGACTTCCCAACTGCAAGGCTAGTGACAATGAAGAGCAGGGAAGGTGAACACAAACTTCACAACTCCTAACAGAAATCTTTAGTCATCATTTCAAGAAGTATCAATTCCCAAGGGTCCTTTGGAATGGGAGTGACACTTGCCTTTGGGGTTGGCGCTGTTGGCATCACAGATCCGGCACTGGGCATTGCGCACGGGTCGACCAGGCACGTGCTCCACAAGCTTGCAGGACATCTCAGGCCCTCGCTCCCCACAGGTCGCGTTGGTGCTGATGTGCGCGTTGCTGGCAATATTGAGGATGGCAGGAAACAGCCCTGAAAGTCAGGATTCACCAGATCAGCTCAGCTACTTGGAATCAAGAGAATCTCCCTTTGCAGGTGAATCAAAAAGATTTTTAAGTCTATGCGCCAAGTGAAGGGCGTCTTACACAGAAAAAACTCATAGAGCGGTTTCATGTCTATGAAACTCTAGGACAAGCAAAACCCATCTACCAGGAAATACTCAGAACAATGGCTTCAGGGGGTGGGGATTGCCTGTGAGGGGACATGAGGGGACTTTTTGGGGTGATGTTACATTCTATGGCTCGATGAAGGTTTGGATTACACTGACGTGCTGTTATGAAAAATCATAGAAGGCACAAGTCTACAATTTGGGTAGATTTGAGTATTTCACCATATGTGCATTTTACCTCGAAAACAAAAAAGAATTATAAATAAATACTCACATAAATGCTTAAAAGTTTAGAAGCAAAGCACACTGATGTCTAAACTCACTTTGAAATGCATCAAAAAATAACCAGGTTGATGGACAGCGATGGAACATGGATACATAGGCGGTAGAGGAAGAATAAAATGTTCATTGTAGGGTCGGGAAGAGAGATGTTCATTGTACAATTCTTCCCACTTTTCTGATTGAAAAATCTTCATAATAAAATGTTGGGGGTGGCGCCTAGGTGGCTCAGTTGGTTGAGGTCTGACTTTGGCTCAAGTCATGATCTCAGGGTCCTGGGATCAAGCTCCACATCAGGCTCCCTGCTCAGTGGGGAGCCTGTTTCTCCCTCTCCTTCTGCCCCTCACCCCACTCATGCTCTCTCTCTCTCTCAAATAAATAAACAAAAATCTTTAAAATAAAAAAAATGTTGGGAACATAGGTTTTAAGACAAGTTTCAAATGATCCAATGCATGTATCTGCCAATGAAATTCAAACACCTTTCATTTAAAAGAAAGGCATCCATTCTCTGCTCGCTTTGTTCCAGTTGCTCCTGCTAGGACTCACAAGGTCTTTCTTATAATTATCTAGGATTTTTTTCCTCCCTCTCCTCTTTCTTTACTGCCTGTTTTTGTTAGTGAATAAAACTTTAGAACACAATAATCTAGGTTTCAAAATTCTCTTCAATTCAGTATTAATCTTTGCCTTTGTACATTCCTTTTTGTCTCGAGTGATTTTTATCTTTAAGCAACTGGTCCAAACTATTCAGAAAACAATTTTTGGATGACTGTGAGAAGCGTAACTCCTTTAGGTTCTTTAGAACTTGGCTTTATCTTGGTAAAAGAAGATAATAGCTGTGACGGTTCCATAAAATCTAGAAATGATGGTGTACATGACACTGAAGAAGGATTCTACCTAAATGGACATTGTGGACTGAGAGAGAGCAATGAAAGGGGGGGAGGTCTTAGCTAAGTGGGCTTTCAATAATTGACTCGAATTTGATCTTCTAAGATCACAGAAGATAATCTTTTCTTTATAAAGAACACAGAGTCGGGCGCCTGGGTGGCTCAGATGGTTAAGCGTCTGCCTTCGGCTCAGGTCATGATCCCAGGGTCCTGGAATCGAGTCCCACATCGGGCTCCCTGCTCCTTGGGAGCCTGCTTCTCCCTCTGCCTCTCTCTCTCTCTCTCTGTCTCTCATGAATAAATAAATAAAAAGTTTTAAAATAAAAAAAAGAACATAGAGTCAATAGTATCTCTGCAATATTTCTTTTCCAGTGAAATCTGAAAATGCACAATGTAATCTTAGTAATATAAAAGGAATTCATGTCAATTTTTATTTTTTAGGTACTGTTTAATGTTTTCAATGATCTTTTCTATTATAAATATTTTAATGATTGAAATTACAAAATAAAAATGATTATTTGTGTAATGTTATTTTACTGCATTTAAAAAAACTTCCTATGTATCTATTTAAAAAACAACATTTTAGGTAGTTTCCCAAACACTTGCCACATAAAACAGAACCACCTATTAGTAGTGTTCTATCCTAGGAGAATGACCCTTAGCCTCTCAATAGAAAATAGTTATTGAATATTTGTGTTCTAGAGCATTATTCCTAACTGGAAACACAGCACACTTAACATCATATACAATATTTAATGTATTATATATATTTTCACTTTGAACTTAAAGTTGGTTATTTTTATCATATTCCTTTAAAGGGACTTCTTTTTTAATTAAAAAGGCTTCATGAAGAGAGAGATGAATCATTATGTGTAATTATGCATTTCCCTAAAGGATTATTTTTATCAATCAGTAGTTAGACACTTATATTTTCTATACCAATCTAGTTCCTAAAGTGACATGTAATTCTTGAAAGTGGTACTTAGATGACAGGAGGAGCTGATATTTATTCTGTTTGGTACTGAGGTGAATACTAATCTTCTCCATCTTTTGGGATCACACTATTCTAGTAACCTGGTTCAAATGTGTCTTATGAGCCAATCATTTAAAATACAGTATGGGTTTAAACTTTGGTGTTTTATCCCTATAGCTAAAATGATGTTTTTCTGGCTCTATAGCACATGTATGTATTTAAATTTTAGTACAACCAACTCTATCCATTCCCTTTGCACAGATTAGTCAAACAAGAAAAAGAAACCAAGGTCACGGGAATTGATTTAGCAACACATTTCTCTTTCAACAAATACTTTACATGGTAACCTAACAAATGTTCCCACTTCTTCTTTACTCTCTCCCTCCAGTTGCTCCCCATCAAGGCAACTCCCCACTTCCTGCCCAGGGGTCCTTCCCACTCTGGAGAACCTCGGTGGCCTTGAGTTACTGGGGGCAACTGGGAGTGGTGAGGGCGCCTGCTCTCTGTACTCAGAAGTCTCTACCCTGAGTCACTGAGAAAAAGAAGCTCAAAACTCAACATAAACCTAAAATAATTTGGTTGAATAATATCTCAATTATAGTAATCAGCATCAGGCAGATCTTTGTACTAGATAGGCTTTAAAGGACTTCTATATTTCCTTACCTTGCTGGTATCTTAAATATACTTTTAATAAAAAGAAAAATAAATTCCTTCATTAGCATGGCTGAGTAGGAAAACCTTTAAATAGCTAATGTCATAAAAATATCCTGGTTGTCTTTCACTAAAACTGAATCTTTCTTCTCAGATAAGCCAGTGTTTGAAAAAAACTATTCACTAAACATTCTTCCTTACATAATACCTTTATCTCACTTCACAGTTATAGAATAATCACAATTCCCTGTTGCATATGGACCATATCTACTAGAAGATGAAAGAAAGGTAGAAAGGCACACCAGAAAAAAAGCATGTGTTAAAAATAAATTTTTTAAAAAAAGCCCCTCAGGTTGCTGAATCATTTCAAAGACCCCTGAAATATTTCAATAAAGGGAGCTCCAAGTTGGAGGAGGGCTAGGAAATCAAAGGGTAAGAAAGGATCGGGATCAAGAACCCAGCAAGAACAAACGTTTGATTTTATGCATAAAAATCAAAGGCAGAATGAGGGCTCCATCAGGATACATATGTGGCACAGTTTTCCCACTGCCTGGCCGTGCGCTTAGTAAATCAGACTATACATTTTTGTTGAGAGGTATTATTTACTGAAGTTAGTGCCTACTATAATACTAATCTGTATTTTTCCCTCACTCAGGACCCACAATGGAATCATTTCTCTAGGCGTGTATTTAGCCAGTAGCTAAAGACTTCATGAGGCCAAACTCCATTGAGCATGAAATAAATTCCTTCTCATTCACCAGTAGTTTTTTATAATCCCCTTTCTTCACAGCCTGAGTACATTTGGCCTTCTTAAATGCATTTCAGGACCATGTTAATCTACTAGAAATTCCCTTCTTAATATGAGATGAAAAACTGCCACAAAGCTAGCAGCCAACAATGCTACTACACATAATTCCCAAAGGTTTCATCTGAGAGACTTCCAGATTGTTCAAGAATTCATTTTTAGAGGGCTCTAGATTTTTTTTTTCTCAGCAGAAAATATTTTTGCTGCCTTAAAACTGAAGTATCTAAAATGTGGACTAAAGCCAATTGCAACAACTTTTTCATTAATATTTCTCAAATGATTCGGGGTCAATGGTCCAGCTCCGTAATGCATTTGTGTGTAAGAGAAGCATGAGTTCTTCTAATGAAGTGTTTTGTTTTGTTTTGTTTTGTTTCTGTTTTGAGGGAAAAGAAATTTTTGCTTTTTATAAAATGTTAGCATATAATGTTATACTAATCCATACTCAAAATCAATGTGATATTCTGAAAAGAAAATGATTTGCAATTCTTAGCTAAGGGATCTGTGGCAATATTTTCAGATCAATAATCATTTTATTCCCCCAAATAGAATTTAAAAAAATGATGACTACTCTATAGGGTTGAATAATCAAAGTGGCTTCTGCTGTCAGGACGTTTTATTTTGAAAAAGAATCAAAGTCACTTATTCAGTCATGGAGAAATTTGGAAAAAAAATTTTTTTTTCACAATCAGACCAAAACAAAATATACTTATTAGAAATATTACACAGTCATACATCATACCCTTCCAAGTCAATAGTTAAATAAATCCACGTTGGCATGTCAAGTCCTGACGATGCTGGGTGTGCTCTTCGTAGAAATGAGTCCACAGATCTATCAATTGCAACCAACTAATGTGGTTAAAATTAGGGAGCCACAGAGGATGTTCCAGACTTAGCCAAAGTCTAATCTGGGTCAAGAAAAGTGAAACACCCAGGGAGCTTGGGCAAAGGAGATATTAAAAATACTTTTTGAAAAGGTAGCTAGGCTCCATATCCCTTACTGCACATCCTTGGTGGCTCATCTCAAAATGGCATGCAAGCCTGGGAATGGGAGGAGCTCAGCTGGATTTGGCAAATGGGCGTGCAGAGAAGGGCCTGGATTTCTGTATTAAGAGATTTGTGATTTTTAAAAAACATTCAAATCTATTTTGTTCTCCACTTACCCACCTCTCACTTCTCTAACCTCACCCATTTACCCAACTAAACATCTATAAGTTGATTAGAGAAGGCCAGTATTAGAAATAAACTACACTGTTTGCCAGCACTCTTTGAAGCACGGTAGTTCCCTGGGCGAACAATAAAAACAGCACCTCTAACAACTACAAATGGCGTTATTCAGAGAAAAACCCTGGAAGCATTTGACACTATTCCGGGATAGTAACATAAGATAACTTAAAATTCTAAGTTAATAGTATT